AAGCTAGTTACTCTGGTTTAGGAAGTTGTCAGCCTCACAGGGGCCAGTCCTGCGAAAGTATCCGAAGAAGGATCGTCAACATGCTGGGGATCGTTGAGGTATTAGCACATCGTGACATTCTGGCGAAACAGCGCCAGACCGTTTTGTTGCCCTTACATAGGACGGGAAATGGCTACACGCTGTAGAGCTGTGCTTTCTGAACTGTGCTGTTGTTTCAGAAGGAAAAACAATATCAAATTCCCAGGCCCTTATTGTGATATTGCGACGACATGGTCTTGATGGAACATCAGTCTAGGAAGGAAATTAAGTGATTCATCGTATAGGATTGCTCTCAAATTTCCTCAGCGACTGGAAGACTATTTTTAGAACTACAGTAATTCTATACTGATGCTTCTGCGCTCTTACCAAAAGTCCTTGCCAAGTAGCGGTTGATTGCCAACGACTGCGCCAGCTGCTTGCCGTCAACCTCAAGCACTGGCATTTGTCCGAATGGGAAAGCTGAAACCGATGCATTAAATTATCTGGCAGAAGATACTGGCTCTATAATATGAACACTTACTCTCTTTCAGTGGAGCAAAAGCCTCTCTGGTAAGACGGACATCCTCATACTTCTGGTCGGCAAGAGCGAAAAGCTGAAACCATTTTTTTCGGACATTATTTGAATACTAGTGAAATACGGAAGAAGTGATGAAGTATGAGCAAATTTTTGAGCCTCAGACAAGATGTGAGCTCACATGCTTTGCCTAAGCCCAGTCCTCGCTACATTAACTCGCTAAATTTACGGGGGGCCAAAAAAAAGTCATTTTGCCTCCATGACTTTCAAGGCGCTATAAGTTACACTTTAAATTTTTATCGGACATTTTTACTACCATATTAAAGAGCACATTAAATACTATAATGATACTCCGCCACAGCCTTCTGGAGGAGCGCCATCGAGAGATTCGGCCGCGCGAAAGTGAGTGGGTACCGGAGCTGAGTGAGATCGTTGATTTCTCCGCCACCGGTAGACCCAGCGCCTATTGAACTCCGCCCGAACCGGGTATTGAGGGGATACAGGTCAGGTGACCTACTTGGATATTCTACCTTCTTTAGGTATTCAGCCCCCTTCCATTCCAAGTAGGCGGGAGTTTTTCCAAAACCCTTTGATTCCATGTGGTGGCACTCAAATGCTGTAGCAGCACAAGGTCTCCAAGAAGGTACGGGCGACCACATGTAGGGAGGATATTCTTCTCGAGTTACTTGATGTAACCGCCAGCGCTCACCTTCAGTCGGGGTCTACAAAGAAAATATCGGTCTTCCCCTTTCCAGGTACCCGGTCCATACCATCAACTCGCGCCTCGGCGAATACGGTGAAGATGATGTCCTAGACCGTAGCGACGTTGCCGTAGCTGGTCGATGTGGGAGGTCTTGCAGGTCAAGAGTACTGACCTCCAGGTAGCTATCTGTGGATGACTTCATTCAAGAAGTTTCGCAGCTGTTTGGAGGCGACGTGAATTCCAAAGGTGTTCTCCAGTCAGGCCGCGACTGGAGATGACTTCATATTTTGGCGTACATGAAGGCGATTGGCGGCAGCGTGCTCCAGCTTATAGAGGAAGATCTTGGGTATCTTCCACTCTGGTACTCATATCCACTTCCCCTGTCTGGGCTGCGAAAACTTCGTTGATATGTGGCTCGGCCGAAATGACTTTTTTTTGCCCCCCCTGTTACATTAGCCAGAACCGTTTTGAGCCGGGAAGCGCTAGACCGACCTTTCGTGATATGTTGGGACTTTTATCAATTATTCAGCAAAGGTCTTGATTCATAACACGAGTTTACACTAGAAAGTCTCGCAGGCCTAGAACTAGAACTATACAGCCGGCCTGATTAGTCGCTCTCGCTCGCCTGTGCAGGACGAAATAGAGTGGTAGTAGTCTAGCTTGGAACTTGCCAATCAAGAAGAAGACCATGTACTGCTCCGAGCGCTGGGGCTGCTTTAAAGAGTCCCGCGTCGTTTGCCAATCGATAACATCCTCACATTACGGACAGTCGTGGGGGGTCACTGCGGTTGCGTTTTCGCGGGCCAACGGCTTCGTGCACCAGTTGTTGAAGCGGGCAAGTGACATTACTGTATTATATCCTTCGTATTACTCGTTTTCTACCACTTTTTTCGTCGCATACGCATTTCAACAAAAGAACTGAGAACGGCTTCAACAGTGTGCACATTCATACTGGCTGACACGCCCCACCGGTCCGCAATGATGAGGACTGTACCTTATGCTAATACGTTATCGTTTCAAGGGTCTACGAACAACGATTCCTGCAATGGCGCCCAATTTCTATTTTTCTCAGTGCTCTCACCTGCATGGCGTTTTGTGACACCCTGACCTTTCACACCCCATCTTTTTACGCATAATAGGTGGCTCATCCCCCCCCACCCCCTCCGAACTCCTCTCCCTTTGGGAAAAAACTCATTTTCTTGCTCGCGACATGTTTTTTGTACCTCTCGATGCTCGGTCCTTTGTTTCTCTGCGCTCTGGCCTTTCGCAGCAGGACCACCATTAAAAGTTTTAGTTGTCACGTAAACCCGTTTCAAGCACCGACAATATTGCGTGGTGAGTCTAGGCGCGGTGAACTACGCATTACTCAGTCTCACAAGAGGCTATCAAGAAAAATTCGAGACTCATGGAAAAGCTCTGCTTCCAAGAAATCAGTACTTCACAATGGGACTTGTCGTGACACTGACTATTTTTTCAGAGTAGCAAGATTGTAAAGCCCACCTGACGTGCGGTCTCTGCAACACCACGTCCATCGAAAGTAATGTGGCATGTGTAGTTGCCATTTCTAACCTAGGAAAATGAACGGCTGAAATTCTAGCGAGATAAGCGTGTGAGCAAGGCGGTACCAAAATATTAGACCCTCAAGTTATTACATACATACATATACAAACACATATAAGTTTTCTTAGGCATTGACGACAAAGCTGTTTGACGGATTGGCGAAAACTGAAAGGCAATTCTCTCGGAGTTGATAAGCAGGAACATCGACATTCCACCCCACAGTATGTGGAATCACACTTGAACGAGAATTCGCTTCTCAGCGAAGTAGCCCGCCCCTTCTCAGAATGGAGAAGAGAATGACAGCACCAATGAGGAAAACGCGATCACTCATACGACTCCGCCCATACAGTCAGCGCGGGAAATTGTCTTGTTGGACACGAAAACTGATTGGTTGGTTTTTGTAAGAGACGATCTGCTCAACAGGATCAGCCACTTCAGCGGTGGCCCTTCTCCTCGATACTAGTACAATAACGAAACCTAGCTCGAAGAAGTCCTATAAAGTAGTATGGAGGTTTACTGGCACCGTTATCAGCGACCCCTATAAGTTCCACACTCTTCTTTTTTTGAAGCAAACCCATTAGTCTTTGGCACATGCAAGGTTTTTTGGAGTCTTATCGCTCCTACGACCTTCACATCGCTCTGACAGATTTTTGAACCTTGAGAGCAAACGCGACAGCCGACGGGGTGACCTTGCACCGGCTTAGAAGATCTGATCGTGGCTCAAACAGTTTTTTCTGCCGAATGGAACTTTCAAGGTCTTCCTCCGTTTGAAAGGTCTTTGAAGAACATTGGGGCGTGCTGCTTGTTCCTGGGCAAATATTGCTTATGGAGAGCATAAGGCTACTGTGGCAAAACAAAAACCCAAAAATAGCTCCTCTCTCATTACTGAAAGGTGGTACCTAGTACCCCGTTGTGCATCACCTCCGCACGGTTTTTTCCTTCAGTGAGCTCTAAGAAGTTCCATGAAGGAAGAAGACAAAAGCTCCTCAGTACTACCGTCAGCGATAATTCCTCCACCCACAACGAATTTCCGCTAAAGCTGGAGTTCCTTCTCAACATTCGCACGACCGTCTTGGACGGAAAGCCCTCACGTCGGCCTATTTCGACAGTTAAAGATGTCCCTTCTCAGTAG